GCTCGTATATATATGCTTGCATGTATATGTAGATTTGTATATATTCAATAGCGCATAATTTTTGACACCATATTAGCATTAGTAATTTGTATATTGTGAAAAGGATGACGATTCTTCTATAGAGCTGCCGCGTGCGCTTCACTTATTTATCTTGATCGCTTACCAACTGCTTGGTTTTCACCTGTCGAGTAACATGATATGTGGCAACTGTCTCATCCACACATTGGCAGTACGGTACTTTCAACTAATGTGGGCCGACGATTCTCACTAAATTTGCTCAACTTTTTCTCTATCTTCTCAGCGTTGTCCGACTGATGCTACAGTATTTGAAGGAAAATAATCTACTAAGAACATTCACAGCCCTAAGGGTATGTGTTGTGCTACACATTCTGCATCTTGCGGAGATTTTCGTGGAAACTTCGAGGATTGAAGATTTTATATTTTGATCCAGTTCTATTCGCAGCTCTTTTTCCGCTCCATCTTGCGCTACGTTACATAGTGCTGTGCAAAGCTCGTTGGATTACTCAACTTCAATTCGCCCTTTGTCGAGAGTACTGAACTGCTTCCCCGCATTCACCATCAGGAAGAAACAGGGATAAACCTCAACACAGTGGACAGTGTGGAATCATTCACAACCGATATTCGATTAGGTCACTGGGATAATGTTTTGAACGCCGTACAGACACTTCGATTGCCTGATAAAAAGCTATTTGGCCTGTACGAACAAATAGTACTCGAACTCATAGAACTTCGAGAGTTGGGTGCGGCTCGATCCCTTCTGCGTCAGACTGATCCCATGATACTGATGAAAGCTGCACAACCAGATAGGTGTGTGTGCTGTGTTAGCTTTGAAAAGTTTTTATATAGTGTTCGTCAGGACCAGCCCGAGTATGTTTCGGATAAAACGAGTCTGCTTGTATACAACAAACAAACTGAGCGTTTTACGAAGCCCTTCCCATATATATTTGACGCTTGTCTTCCAATCCGTGTTTACATTGACCATATCGGTCCTCCCGTATTTTGGTATGCTTTTCGACGCCTAGTCCCGCGTGTGTGTGCATCTATTTGCTTGTGAGACACTCATCGATATGTTAAAAATAGCAAATGTGCTTCCACGCACTGACGCATAAACAATTATTTGTTGTAGTATTGCAGAGTAAACTAGTTTCTCGAATTCTTAATTGCATGTGCCACAAACGACTCATTTTTCAAGGTTTTCTGCTCGTTTTCTGAAGATATGTACATTTAGAGAGTATATTGGCTAGGCCTTATTTCGACGCACGAGAAGCTTACCCCGACGGTGTAACGAAAGAGAAAAGGAGAACACAGATATCAAATGAGCTGGCCACGGAAGTCATCGTTGTACCACCCTCCCGCATGCTGTCGTTGCTGAGTCAGTCCGTAAAGTGGCAGCACTCCCAGGTATACGGCCCAGCTTTGGTATAAGATTTAGCTTGTGTAGCATCATAGCTTTCAAGTGAGTTTTTAAGATCGGTTATTCCACGCGAATGCCACTTACCGCATACTGTCGCGAAACCTTGTAGTATGCAGTAGTAATCTATTTTCAACAGTGACCTATACCTTTTAAGCCTCTCAAGTAGCTTGTTGTATAGAGCTTGTGCCTACATGACGAATACTATCAAATTAAATTTCTATGGCGCATACTTTCTGAAGTGGCCACTCATTCGGCGCTTCCTCGTGTTTTTAGGGTATTTTGCCTCCTGATACACACATAGACCTGTTCAGGGGGAAGGCTGTGGTCACGGAAGCTGAAGCGGAAACTTTCCCGACTCAGAAAGTGAAGACTATAAAGGTACGAATGTTTGCTTTCCGTCGAAGTGTGCATCTTTTCGTAAATTGGTTGCTCTACTGCTTAATTGGGATACTGAATCATGGCTTACTTTTACACTATTTTAAGACTGCCGCACATTTTGATCCTCAATACAGTTCGGGAGCAAATCACATCCAGAATGTGCTGTGTTTAGTCCTGACGGCCAATACCTGATAACGGGTAGTGTGGACGGTTTTATAGAGATCTGGAACTATCACACAGGCAAAATTCGAAAGGATTTGACCTTCCAGGTAAGTGCTTGAAAATTATGTGTTTTGTACGGATCTCGAGTGAGTATTTCTTAGTCTTGAGTCTTCAAATGTGTGAAGGTGTCATCAGCTATCGTAGTACAGATTTATTAAGCTGTATCAAGTCGATTGCTATCTTCAAGCTCTTATTCTTGGCATAGGTGGCCATTTGCGATATGCCCCATCCGACACATTTTAATCACAGCAAGGTCATATGGGGATCAAGTGTCGAAGTCGAAAATTAGATGTACTTGCAAATTATTGAATGTCTGCCTCGTAAGCAATTATGTCTCCCGAGTATTCTGATTCTTTTGACTAAACAGGGCACTAATCATACGCTTGCACGCACATACTCCGTATGCATTTGGGCTTATCAGAACGAAGACAGGTTTATGATGATGGACAAATCAGTACTTTCCATTGCATATAGTCGCGACAGTGATATGCTGGCCACAGCGTCAGTCGACGGCAAGATATACATATGGAAGATTGAGACAGGTCAGCTATTAAAAAAGTTTGAACACGCGCACGGACAAGGAATTACTTGCGTCCGGTTTAATCGGGATAGCAGTCACATTGCCAGTGCCTCTTTCGATGGAACTATAAGGTGTGTACTATGGTGCACAGAATTCGGGTCTTAAGAGTTGACACTGTACTGACATCGGACTTTATCCCATGCAGTGATGCACTGTCGGGAAGAGTTAGCGTAGTCGTGATCGTGAGGCCAGGTACAGTTGCTGCTGGGATGTCAAATTTCTCTTTCAAAAACTGACCTCGTTGTACAACACAGGATACACGGTCTAAAGTCAGGCAAACTCATGAAAGAATTCAGAGGGCACACGTCATTTGTCAATCACTTCAGTTACTCTCAAGATTACAGTCAGATCTACAGCTCCAGCAGTGATGGTTCCGTGAAGGTAGGTATTTCTGGATTCAATATGCCTTACCTTGACATTTGTAGGTAAAGCATCTGTTTTATTCGCCATCGCCTACTAATTGTGACAGTTCAGATTCTCTATTTATTTTTGAGTATGTTTGGAGCAGTTGCTTATTACCATAGTACTCGGCGGTGTGCATTTGTCTACAAAAGATTGTCTACCGATCTTGTTTATAAACAAGAAAGTTCCTGACTTGTACAATCTGTGCAATCCACAGGCGTGGGATATAAAAACGGCGACTTGTGTGATGACGTATCAACAAGTGTTCGGCCACACGGAGATCGCGGTCAACTCCGCTCACTTTCTGCCGAAAGAGCCCGCGCACTTTCTTGTATGCAACAAGAGCCCCACATTGTACATCCTAAATAAAGCGGGACAGGTATGTATGTTGATGCATCAAGCTATGTCGAACTTTACCACCCGATTCCGTATCTGGATTGACACAGTTCCCTCCTGACACTGCAAGGCTTCAATGATAGTATCTTCATCAGCAATAACTAATCTTTACATTTATATCCCTCAACTCGCAGCTGGTGAAAACGATGACACATGGTAAGGGGCCCTCAGCCGCGTTTGTGGCGTGTGAGGTGTCGCCGCGCGGTGACTTTGTACATGCACTGGCCGAGGACAAGAGCTTATACTGCTTCAGTCTGGACACAGGCAGGCTCGAGCAGTCGCTGCCAGTGGCAACCAAAGATGTGATCGGTTTAGCCTGCCATCCCCAGCAGAACATATTCGCCACGTGCTCGGAAGAAGGGAATCTCAAACTTTGGAAACCCTGATTTGTATTTGATACGGTAACAAAGATCATCTCCGCCGTAATAGCCTGTGTGGTTTCAAATTTCTGTGTTCCAATCAAGGAAATATTCATACATGGTGCTCAGTACTTTCAGTGCAATCGATATTGGATTCTTCAAGCGTATTTCGAGTGGACAATCCGGACGGTTTGGCCTTCTGTTGTTGCTGCTCTGACTGCACAAACGCCATTGTGGTGGTAATGGTGACTTCGGGCTGGGCTGTATCGTCGGGTTGGAAAACGAAGTCGCGGGCACATTTCGGGTCAAGTTCGTCTGCAAAAAAATATGTTAAATTTAGTGCGATCAACTGGTGGTGTGGCAACCCGGTTACCGAGATCAGACAGAAAGATTAACACATGTAAGCCGATTTTCACATGCGAAAAAAAAATGGGTTGTCCCGCATACTACTTTTTGCTTCAACCGTTTATATAAAATTGGCTTATATTAAAACCATCTGCGTTCAGAAGCGCCAACGAAATATGGTATAGAGACTACGAGTGCATACATATGCATGTAGGAAAGCAACACCTTTTAATCTTTATCCATCTAAGGCACACTGGCATATACACGTTTTATGTTTTCAGCAGTAGTGAGCGTTGACTACTATTTCGTATACTGTATACACATGTGTAAAACCGTAAGCAACCAACTTAAAATGAGAACGTTAGAGAGCGATGATACAAGAGTTAAAGCGTGTGATATCATGCCAGTGCTTTCGGATATGCAAATTATAATCATTGTTTTAGCACACGCACGCGCGTGCATAGATATTGCGGAACATAATTCAATTGCACAGAAGATATTTTACGTGAAACCATGAAACATACATACATTGTATAAATCGGAACAGCGAGAAGTATGAATCTAGCAGGAAGGCGCTTCCGAGCCCCAGAATCAAGGTAAAGTGGATGATGTATGCGCCTGGTTGCACGGATCCCCAGATTAGTGTGCCATATACCACAATCAAGTCTAGGTAGAGAAAGCGTCGGATCTGATTGCAGTCGGAAAATTGAGCGCTGGCGTGTCGTGACATGTACGCATAGTAAATCCAAAAGAAAAGACAAATAAAATCTACTATCACCACTGGCGCATAGCGGAAAGTGCCGTTCTTCAACAGAAATTGTATCAGAAACCGGGCGATATTAGCTACGATATAAGCGGCTCCTATACAGAGCACGGTGTTCCTGTATATATTCTTTGGTGCTGTGCTGAAGCCGGAATTGCGAAATAGCTCAGCCATCTGCCGCTGCCGGCCTACGACGGCTGAAAACCACAGGAATAAAGAGAAGCTCAGAACGGAGTCCAATACCGCCCTCTTGGCTCCACTGTGCGTCAGTCCGAGTACACGGGTCATGATTTGCAGCCAAGCGACGGGAACAACGAGCATGAACCCGAAATGAATCTGGAAGATATGCATCAGACCTCTATTGACCACTACTGGGTGAGAATTTAAACGATACGCCACTCTTCCGCTCCAAAAAATTACAAGCAAAGTAACTGCACCTGCAAATGTTGCGAGCGTAATTGTGAGTACATTCCTACACTTCCAATCATGGATAGTGGCAAAGTACATCACGAGACCAACAGTTAGATATACAGCAGAACATGTGGGGAAGATTAACATCCAGAACAAGCGGCTAGCGTAGGAATTATAGTCCCTCCAAGTTGCAGTGCGCTCTCGCTTTTTCCGTTCCAAATCTCGACAATAAGTACTTGCTGGCGTGTCTTCGGCAGCCACTGTAGCTCCTCCAGTAGATAAAAACTATTAAATAATGCACCGTGTGAGTGAGTATGAGGGATTTTAACCAGTTCTGTGAGTAAAACTTCTTTGGCGCGCAAATGGAAATTCAACTACAAACAGAAAGTTGAACTAAGACTACAATACATGCTCAACAGTACACACATTTAAAAAAGAGGGAACAAGACCGGCTAAAAATTGGTAGATTAAAATACTCGTTTATACAATTCTACCTACAGTCACTACGCGCTTGTCTTTTATATTATATTATATTATATTATATTATATTATACTATATTATATTATACTATATTAGATTACATTATATTACATTATATTAGATTATATTATACTATATCATGTTATTTTATATTATATTATATTATAGTATACTATATACATATAAA